ATGTCAGTTGTTGATTCAAACACCTCACATCGCAAGTTCCTTTGCCGCTAGATGAGACTTGGGAGCGATTTTCCAATCTTCGTCTCGCCTTTCTACGTCTTGATTAAGAAATGTGAGCGCCCGTGTCAAAGGTGAATACTGAGCTGTCTATAATTTTTTACGTTCCAGTATATCTTTCTTTTATGTCGATTTGACATAATATTATGCATTTTTGTATAATGACAATGTGTTTTATTTTTGTGAAAATTGTTATTTTTTACGTTTGTACATAACAAAAACAACATATAATTTATATGTACTTTCAAATATTATAAATGACTGCTTCTGTTACCTTATCGATGTTAAAATAATATTTTGAAGTTTCATTAACAACCTGTCATTTGAAGTACAAAATTACTGTCACCTGACAATTTCTCGGAGAAACCCAACAGGTTTATCGATAAATAATCAGTTTTGTTCTGATGTATATTTAAATAAACAGAATTTCATAATACAATAATAACTAAATTATACTTTAATATTTCAGACGGGACTAAAATCCTAAAATTCATATTCATACAAGGTAAATTTCAAGAATATACAAAATTAGCTTCGTTTGGTTTTCTAGATTGTAGAAGTGATTAAATATGCAAGTTTCTGTTCCAAAAAGCTTTCACATTTTTAAACTTATGGAAATTTTAGTTGCTGGCAACACCTAATATAGATTCGAAATTCAGATTCACACTTTATGAATATTCACAGCGGAAATTACCAATCGTAACCGAAAAGTAAGCGAATCGTTTGGTAATTATAACTAGCATGAATCATTCATTCATTAGACCTTTACATGCGTGAATTACGTCAGTGCTGGGTTATTTGATATCTTGTCTCATTATTCGAGACTGAAGTAAAGAATATAGATAATAATATTATTTCGACGACACGTTTGGCTCAGTTTGTAGTGACCTTCTTGCTGTGCCAGCGGTCGCGGGTTCGAGTCCCGCTGGGGGCATTCATTCGTGTGATGAGCACGAATGTTGGTACTACCGTACCAGTCATGGGTATTTATATTTATTTATAATATGTATGTATTTCAAGTTATATATGTGTAATGTATCAACTATCTGGTATCCATAATGGATATATGGAATCCAATATAAATTAAGGGTCATGTTAAGCCGCGTGCAAGCTAATAGTAAAAAAAATAACTTTTTGTTTTTTTTTTCTGCAAGAATATATAATTTGGCACCTAGTAAATACACCACACTGTTGTGCTGTTATACTATATTATAAAAAATTTAAAATCCCTAATAATTCTTCATTTTGAAGGGACACTCCTGTCTCTTGATCAATTAAGTAGCTCTAAAGCTTCAGCACACCTATTGAGAAGAATTCATAAAAGCTTATTTTTAACCGACTTCCCAAAACAAGGAGGAGGTTCTCAATTCGTCGGAATCTTTTTTTTATTTTTTTATGTACTCGTATGTTCACCGATTACTCGAACACGCCTGAACTGATTTGGATTTTTTTTCAAAAGGTATATTTCCCAGGTCCCATATAAATTTTATCTAAATCGGTCAAGCGGTTTTTATAAAATCAACAAATTTTTTTTAAATCAATCATGTTATTAAATAAACTTTCTTGTAACAAATTACCTGCTTATTACGTCTACACTAAAAATGGACATGTAAAGCAGATAGTATTAAAGAGATAAGATATAAAATATACAGCGCTTACTATAACAATTCTTTGAACAAAATTAATACTATTTTAAGGAAAATAGAAGTTTAGCAATATTTAGTCTAGATAAATAATCATTTGTGAAAAAATTGCAGACAACTTAATAAGAAAATTGCGTCGATACTTTTCTCTTAATGTGGATAGCATTTAAATATTCACCGCAGAGTGGTAATATATCTTTGTAAGATTTAGGAGCCTGACTTGTCGTCTATGGATTACGTTGAATTGCTTTTAGAGATTACGGGGGATTTCATTCAGATATAGATTAGAGTGCAAATTTAACGTAGACGTTTCATTAGTTGCTCCTTGGTTTCATTATATTATTTAGAAAACAAATTAGCTGATTTATCTTATTACTTTACGAGTGACGTTGCTTCTTTCGAGTGCGTCCCTAGATGCTTTTTCTATTATAATACTAACGAGTCACCCTTAGTCGCTAGATGTCTAACAGTAGCCTATATATTACTCCATGTCGTACACTATCTGCGTACTAAATTTGATTTAAATCCGTCCAGTCCTTTTAGCGCGAAGTAGTAACAAACATAAAGCAGATATATGAATTTTCGCATATACTAGCGGCTCATCCTCGCTTCCTATCCCACGGATATCGTACACTTTTACGGGATAGCCTACATTTTATTCCAAGCTATAATCTATCTCTGTGCCAAATTTCATCCAGATCTGTTCAGCCGTTCTGGCTTGAAAGAGTAACAAACATCCATGCTTACAAACTTTCGTATTTATAATAGTAGTGTAATACACGCATATATTCAAAACCATAGCATAAAAGAAACATACATTTTATTGAAATAAATACAAGCTTTTATAACGGCGGTCACTGGTCAGGCTTTCAATGAAACCACACATAGCTCTCAATATTTTTTCTACTTTTAATCTTTTTTATATTCAGCTCTGTAAGCATTATTACTTATTACCAACTTTACGAACAGTTTTAACTAATATTTGAAATTCACTATGCGTGTAACTATTAGGTAAATCGCCTTTTGTGAGATACCATGTGTTAATGTTTTAATAACTCGTTTAAGTTTATATAATAATATCACAATTGACCCTATAGAAGACATATTATACGTATATTTAATAAACTATTAAAGGTCAATTTTTCAATAAAGGGGGACGTAAATCCCATGTACTTTGGGCGCAGTCATTTTACACAAACAGTAGAGTACAGGATCTGGGCTCTATTTGCTGCGTACGCGCACTCGGGCGTGACGACGCGCCCTTTTCACATTAGTCCTATATTGATGATGTTCGATCGTTTGATATGTTAATCGAGACTATAAATCTTTCACTATATCTTTACTATTAACAATACAAATTTTAATTTAAGTCGATAGCTTTGTGATATAACTAATGTTTAAATAAATGTCATATATTGAGTAAAATTGCTATGAATACTATTTAAACTTTAGGTTACAGTTAAAAAGATCACGAGGCATAGTGCAGCGAAATATTATCCGGTAATGCCCAATTGGCTTGAGTTCCTTTGAAGAAGTAATGATCGTCCGGAATTTAAACACCTTTCCTTATAAGAATCGTATTTCATTTTACAGAGCACTCTATAAATACTTTTGCTTGAGTGAGAGATTTAATTTATATAATTTTCGTTTTTCAGTTTATACTCATATTCGAATACAAACAACACTCTTACGTGTTTCAGTATTTGACATTCAACTAATTCGGTAAGGGGAGAGCGATGCCAAAACCAGTTGGCAAAGACTCTACCTGGTCGAATCATTACTGTCCTAAATAAACCCTTTAGCTACCTGAAATAAACTTAAATGTCTATAATATTATAGGATATTCGAGGAAGTAGGCACATGTGATTGTTACAAAATATACAAGCAGGAACACTATATTTATTAAAACGGGGTTTAATGTATATAGCTACGTTAATATAATAATAAAGGTAAATAAATAAACGTCGGTTACCTCGATTAAGATCCATGGAATTTATAAATTATTCATAATATAATCGATTCGACCACGTACAATCACGATAATTATAAATTATTATTTACGTTAAAGCCGAACATGCATTACTAGCTTCAATTGATATACCGTTATGTACTTTTATGTTTGATACTATATACTATATTTACAAAAAGTACTACTTAATTCGAACCGATTCCTAAGTTTTAATTAACACAATATGTTTATTATTTCACGACACATTCGGCTCAGTTTGTAGTGACCCTACTTTCCGTGCCAGCGGTCGCGGGTTCGAGTCCCGCTGGGGGCATTCATTTGTGTGATGAGCATGAATGTTTGTACTTCAGTCACGGGTATTTATATTTATAATATGTATGTATTTAAAGTTATATATGTGTAGTGTATCAACTATCTGGTATCCATAACACAAGCCTCGTAACTTATCATGAAACTAGCTGGTGCTGTGTGCTTAATGTCCCAACAGATTTATAGATTTATTTATAGATTGTTTGACCAAAAATGACTTAATATAATAGATATTTATTATCTAAGACGTTATCTAAGTTATCTAAGACCTTACATAAGTCCTCCGTAAATACTTTTGCTTTTTTATAATACTTGATTTTAATGATATTAAATTACAGTTCAGTAATAATATTTAAGTTATAAACCATTTAAACGTATTTAGATGATGTTGGAAGAGGCCATGTTGTTTCATTATTCTGACTGGGCACCAGGCTTTCTCCACAATTATTCCGTACACGTTAATTCAATATTTGTTCAGCACCGTTTGGAGTGACGCACGGTTCGAATGACCCAAATCCTTCACCTTCAACAAAAACACTGTTTTCTTATCATTTACACTATTGTGCTTGTTATCAGTCATTAATATATAAGATTCTTAGTTAAACAAAAGTCTATTGATAATTATCACATACTGAAATTGTTATTTGTAGTATATTTGTTGAATAATTCCTTATATATTGGAAAATTAAAATCAAAAATTATATACTTATAGTATGTAAAGATCAAGGGCACCTCTATCGGTGTGTATGTTACGTCTCGAGTAACGCATACGATTATGTTTACGACCGGTTGACTGAGTACTACTATCTTTATAGATAAATTACCTATCTTATTTTATGTTTTGTCGTTCAAATGTATTATATACTACGTGGTTAGGGTAATTTATATTTTCAAAGTGAAATTAAAACGATTGAAATAACTGCTAAATGGTATTTTCTCTTGGAAATTTAAATATTATTATTGATATATTGTATTTAATACAAAAACAATTATAGATTTGATTGTGATTTGCAGAGACCGTGATGATAGCGCCGACATTTAAAGCGCGCTCGTCCTCGCCAGGTATCAGCTTTGACAAAATGTTGTGTTTTCTTCAGAGTGGCCCCTAAATAACATATAGCACATTCATTTGCTAATATATATTTTAATATATTAGGCTGTTTATAATATTCAAGTTTATTTTTTTACACATGCAATGTATTTACTATCGTAGAAGGTGTAGTGTGTGTAAGATTTTTAATTTGACCCTTAATAAAACTCCTGGGTTGTAGATAGTAGGTACATAAATTATTATATTTAACTTATATAATATTTAATAGTAATATAACAGGAAAATAATACTGTTATTATTAATTATATAACACAATATAAGTAAACTGTAGGAAATGAAAATGTCAAGCAATGTGCAAATGACAAAGAATGATAAAATACATTAACATGAGAATGGTATTAGCCTTGAAATATATTTGTACAGCGTTATTGTTAATTACAAGAAAAACATGAAAAGAGTTTATAGATATTACTATACTTAATCATTGGCAAAAAGTAACACGTTGTAGTGTTCAGCACACAACTGTATCCTTGTAACATCCAATACAAACATATTTGTAATAAAATTATTTTTATATTCAATTATTCTAACTACACATTTTTTATTAGAAACTTATTGCTTAAATTTAAAGGTCAACGAATATTAATATAAATATATAGTTTAAAAGTAAAGAAACATCGATCAAATCGATGAAAATTATACCAGTAGGTAAGAGTGTGCCGGTATTCGTTTGGTTTGTTTGCGATCTAATATACCAAGATTTACTAACTGTGACTAATTGATTTGGAATGTCTGCACGTTTGAAGATTTGTATTTTCAGTGATTTAATCTATTAACACTTTATGTGAGCGTGTGTTTTGTTTATACTTTTTACCTATTATAAGTGTAAAGGAAGCTTTTTCCAAAAGGTATTGTGTAGAGATATTTTTTATGTATAGGTACGTTATAAATGAAACACTTCGTAATATTTTACAAATTACTTATAAATATGTCAGGACATTAATACACAACACCATCTAGTTCAATGGTAAGCTACGAGGCTTGTGTTATGGATACCAGATACATACTATAAACATATACATATTATAAATATAAACACTCACGAGTGGAGTACAAATATTCGTGCTCATCACACAAATGAATGCCCCCAACGGAACTCGAACCCGCGACCGCTGGCGCAGAAAGTAGGGTCACTACAAACTGAGCCAAACGTGTCGTCATCTTATGTTTATTTAAAAAATAAATTATGTTTGAAATTGACATAAACCAATACAATTTAGCACCAATCATAACTTAAAGGTCATAAAGAAAGGCCCCATAAAGCGAACATTAGCATTTCTTCATGTTATTACCGTCGGGACTTTTACGATACGGCCTGGCTTCGTAGATGGGTAAATCGAATGGAAAAGAATTTATCAGGAACGTTTCAGTCAAATAATAAGATTTTATTTCTTCTGACCATATAATTTCATTTGTCCCGCACTTACAAAACCGTGGCTTTCCATTGTGCGTTATTTTATTGAATCTTTTTTAGAATAGGTAGTTATAATAAATAAATATATTATAATTAAAATATTATAATAAAAATAAATATATTGGGACATTCATACACAGCACCATCTAGTTCCATTGTAAGCTACGAGGCTTGTGTTATAGATACCAGATAGCTGATACACTACATATATATAACTTTAAATACATACATATTATAAATATAAACACCCATGACTAGAGTACAAACATTCGTGCTCATCACACAAATGAATGCCCCCAGCGGGACTCGAACCCGCGACCACTGGTTCAATAAGTAGGGTCACTACAAACTCAGCCAAACGTGTCGTCATAGGTAGTTGGGTCATTTTCTATAATGTTTTTAAAATTGGATAAGAGTAGTAGTAATTAATATTATTTCATTATTATTCTCTTTTAAAACAAGTACTACATATCATAGTAATACTTGTTACAATCGAGCTCGCATCTAGAAGAGTTCCGTATATTCTGAGAAAGGAATTTGAAATACAAATTTCGTTAATTTTTTTCCTGTAAATGCTAAGACGCCATTTTTTTCTAATCTTTTAGTTGTTAAAAACATAAAGTGAAAAAAGGGGTCAAGCTAAAATTAAGCCTTAAATAAGCCTTTACTTTTGATAAATCACATGAGGCACTTCATAAAACCTTTTTTTAAATTTATTGTTTGACCCCGATATATAAATTATAAATTTTAAAGAAAATAAGATGTGACACATAGAGACAACGATTCCGCTTTTTCCTTATTATGTACCTGCATACCTATGAAATCTTAAAAATTCACACGTACATATAGCAAAATATTAGACATAGCTTTAAGTTAGTAAATCGATACTGGAACGACTTCAGAAGAACGGACGAATAGTTGCAAAATTCTACCATGATTACACTGCCAGGCAGATTATCAATATCTCCTCATTTCCCGCTATCCACCGGTATAATATCTAACTACACCCTACGTTACCTTAACCATATCAAATCGAGTAACAATCGAAGCCGGCATAATAATCGAGCACACGGCTTACATCATTTTGCAAAAGTGTACCTTTTAAACTCATTATCTTATATTAAGATTTCCCTTCGATATATTATAGACTTACCAATAAAATGTGCCAATTAATCCATGTTATAAAGGAGAAAGTGTGTTCGTTGGTTTGTCGTCCTTTAGCGTAGCTTTGTAGCAATGGATCAACGTGATTTATTACGTAGAGAAGGGATAAGAATCCCCAAAGTACAGATACAGGATTACTAGTATACCTATACATATATTTTTGAAATCATATATTTCACTAGATAAGTATATATATATATATATATATATATATATATATATATATATATATATATATATATATGATATTAAGGTTATTGTATAATTTTTCCTCGACAAGAAAGGATAAACAAATCTAAATTCAAGGCTCTGAAAGCTGCATTTGTTCCTTAGTGTAGTATCTAACTACAAAAGAGATATTTAAAAAACAACAATTTAGAAAATCTATTCCTTTAGCTGGGTGAAACAAAGTTAAAATAGCTTAATAATGCAAGTCACGTATATTCCCATATTAAAAGTAACGATCGAGTTAAAGTCTACGTAGTAAAGACCACGGGTGGCCTTTCTGTACTATAGCTAATATTGCGTCTTACTGATAACGCGTGCACTTCCTTCTCATTGCATTAAAGGTAAATATAGGTATTATCTGTAATACACAAAAGATAATATTTAAAAAAAATAACTATAGTTAACGACTGAATTTACGCTGGAACAAGGGAATTAAATATTGTTTAGTGTAATAACTATAACAATCTCACTTTACATGTAAACCTAAACTTTTTCGATCTTATTTTACCGATCAATCTCTATTAAGTCTTTTCCTTTTATTGGCAAGAAAATCTATATAAAACTAGCGGCTCACCCTTGCTTCGCTCGGGTTCGTCGCTAGCCATATACATTTTAATCTTTTTTTCGTTAATTTTTCAATTTTTTCTTTCATAAGAACCTTCATCTGACAACAACAAATGCAACAAAAAAAATAGTTAAATCGGTCCAGCCGTTCACGCGTGATGGCGTGACCAATATATATATAAAACACAGATTTATTTTTATATATATAGATAGTTACATAATTGTTTTAATACATAAAATTATTGCGAAAAAAGTAAACTGGAGCTATCACCTTAGGTATTAACGTAATTTTTTATTACAAATAAACTATGTGTCATTTAATTGTACGCATCATTCTCTGGGTTTTGCCACTTCACTAACCGTAATCGTATATTACATATAAAATTTTATATATGTATTTACTGATTTTTGAACATAGTAAAATCATTTCTTAAAATACGTGACGATAAAATTTAATTTATCATACACTTTAAAATATCATTATTATTGGCATAGTACAAACTGCAAAGATTACATATCTGCTTAATTTTTTCTATGTAAGAACATAAACATAGTGAATGAAAATTTAATATAAACAAAAAAACTCAAGGAAAATAGAGATTTACTAAGTAACTAGGTTTTAAATATTTTAAATATACAGTTAGTTGAGATGCAGCATTGTGCCTTCCATTAAGAGTTTGATACTGTTTAAAGATACATTATATATTAGAATTGGAAAATCTGCAAAAATAAATTGAATCCAAAATCTCCACGGTAATAGGACACTCCAATAAAATACCTATGGATATAAAATAAATACAGATATATTATAGATAGAGATAAAAAGTACACACTCCAGCCCTCAATCCTAAGCCCAATTATTCCACACAAAAAATCACGCCAATCCGTCACTTAGTTTTGAAGTGAAAGAAGGATAAACAAACAAACACACTTTCACATTTATAACATCAGTATGGATTTTATATCTTATCGCACCATGTGATGATAATATAATCGTCCTAGTGTATCGCCCTTACGTTGTCAAATCCCAGTACATAACGCAGTGTACAGTTATTCAGTACTTTATGCAAAATTTAAATAACCTACAGTTAGCCAATGTACCGGAAAAAAGTTACCTATGTCACTACCAAACTTACAAACTAACTCTACGAGTATACGGACCTTATATGTCGGTTCGCTTTATCATTGCTGCGTGAAAAAGAGACAAATTAATATACAAACATAGCACTAAATAATGATAATATTAATAATAATAATAATATAATATGTTGAGACATTAACACACAGCACCATCTAGTTCCATGCTAAGCTACGAGGCTTGTGTTATGCATACCAGATAGTTGATACACTACACATATATAACTTTAAATACATACATATTATAAATATAAACACCCATGACTGGAGTACAAACATTCATGCTCAACACACAAATGAATGCCCCCAGCGGGACTCGAACCCGCGACCGCTGGCACAGCAAGTAGGGTCACTACAAACTGAGCCACACGTGTCGTCAAACTATATGTATTTTATACTTCCTTATATATTATTTAAAATACTTCCTTTAAAAAATTATCCTTT